AGTAACTTCAGAAAACTGTATGCTCGCACGTCTAAGTATAAGAATTCTATGATACCATACTTGGCACGTATTTTATGTGATGAAAATAGTGTCAGGCAAGAATTAACTAACCTTCTTTCATCTAGTAAATAAACAATTTCCTCCATCCATCCTTATATACCTTCAAGTTTTACTTTTATTACTTCTATTATATTTATGGTCCTGTTAATTCTCTGTTTTACTCTCATAATTGCAAACACCAACTTATCTCCATGACGGCTGTAATCTTTGTTTTTTCCTTCACCATATCATGTAGAAAGAACATTATATTCAATATTTTTAAACATGTTAGGATTTCTATACCACATTGACAATACTGTGTGGCACAAGCCAACGGCAATTTTCACTTGTATTCTTATTATTATTACCCTAGCTGTTATCATTATTATTGCTATTTCCATTTTATATGCTGCATGTTTTTGACACTACCTCTATTGTAAATGTGGAAAATTTTCTGTGTGATTAATTTTATTTATAATTTGAGGAAATTAGATGCAATATTGTGATTAATGCTGAAAATTCCATTCTGTATCACAAGTACTGTTTTTGGAATAAAGTAAATCATTATTATTATTATAAGATTGTCTAACCTAAAACAGGGATAATCACAAGTCAGCCAAATGATTCCCAAAAATCCCAGTAGTCCAGGATAAAATTATTCCTGTTTACCCTGTTAATAAAATAATAAAAATAATGATTTTTCTTTTTCAACTTTGGCACTTCTATGAGGAGAATCATTTAATCAATGAAAGGTGATAATAGCCGAGTATTCTGTGTTTAGCGCTCAGTTCCAGTTATAAACTGACTGAAAAACAAACAAAACCGAAAGACTGAGTGTTAATAAACAGGTCAAGTGAAGGAGTAGAGATGAACAGCAACCATAAACAACAGATGTAAGAAGGCAAAATTAAATCGAACTCACAAATTTGAAAGTAAAACTGTCAGTATAACAAATATCAGTGCGGCTAAGAGGAGGCTAGGATAAAAACAGGATAGACATGTATAACATCCTCAGCGGTGACCAGTCAACTCCTGTTGCCTAACTATAAGAATATTTGAACTACAATAAAAATTTTCAAGAATTGAACTGAAAGATGGTTTCTTTTATTTTATATATATATATATAATTCTCAAAAATAAGGTGTGGTTAAGAGAAACCTAAACACATAATTGATGTCCGATAGCTGAAAATATATGGTGAAGAGAAAAATAGAAGCAACAAGATATGCTGATGAGAACTATAGTTGATACATTGGTTGTAGGACCTTTTGTCTGCGAAACTTCGATCCATGGATGTAGAGAGGACTTCCGTGTTGCAAAGGTTATATATATATATATAATTTCATTATTTTTACGAGTTGGACCACGGATTGATATCAGTAAATAACCGTTCAAAGCCAGATAGTACTGGATAGCTGTTTAATCCTAGTTTGGGAATCATCTGCAGTACACACCTACCGCCAGTCTTCGAACCCAGGAACTTCCAGTTACAAGGCAAGCTCGTATGCTATTCAGCCACTGGGACCCGATTGGAAGGCTCATGAATTCTAGCTTCTACGGATTGGCGATTTAGCACGACTACAACCAATGGTTTAATGGTTATCTAACTGATATCAGTCCGTGATCAACTCGTAAAAACAAAACTAGTCGTTACAAACCAGTCGTAGACGATTTCATTATTATTTCATGACCTTACTTATGACTTTATTACTTTACTTTCAGGTGGTGCTTTTTTAACTGGTTTACGTATTTACGAAATCCTGTTCATTACACTTGACTAAATACATTATTATTTGACAATCATTCACCAGTAGTACTTTTAGGTTTACACCACATTATCGTTATTATTTGACAATCAATACTATAGGCGTTATTTTCAACCTTGAACTTATGTCTTGTTCAACCCATTCGTTAGTTTCCTTTGTGTAGTATTCATATTGCTACTTGAATATTCCCATAATTTATTCCGAACAAAATAGTTAGAGCGAACAACATGAATAGTATTCATACTGTCTCACACAGCTATTCCTATACATCGTGATATTACAAATGTAATAGAATCATCCAGCTAACAAACTGTAAATATGTTGAAATACAAGTTTTATTTGTTCCACTCTCCTGCATTTACCAAGAGTCCACAAAGATGAAATATCTCTAGACATGTCCAGAACCTCCTATCATCGCGTAGCACGGTGATAAGCGGATTCTTTAGAACCTGGAAGAAAGCTAATGGAAAAGCCTTCGTTGAATAATACGTTTAAATTTGCAAACTCAGGAAGTCTAGTGAACATATGTGGGTCAACTAAGGCTTCGTTGGACATAGTTTCCCTATTCACTAATGTTCCCTTAACAGAAAGGGAGTTTATCCGTTCAGATAGGCGAAATGTCGATATACCAACCACTCAAATCTCAAAGTCGTGTGACCACAATTGATATGATTATGAACAATAAATTGTGTTCGAAACCTCGTCATCCAGTATATAATACTGCTTCACTGTGTGATACATCTAATAAACAAACTAATATGGAATTACTTACTACCACAGTGCCCAAGTTTTACACATATATTAATACCAACTACATATATCAAATAACTAATCGTCGCACGCACAGTGAGTATTCAATTTTTATTTAGTGGTCAAATATACAGAAAGAAAGGGGGAGTAGTAATCGATTCTCCGCTTGGTCGATTGTTCACCAGTTGCTTCATGGGTTAGGTTCAGTGAAATATCTTCCTACCAACAACCATATAGTTCGAAGTTTACAAGCGGCATATGGATCATATCTTTATTATCACCGATCAGGATACTAACCTAAGAAAATCCAGGAAATCTTCAACAACCATCATCAATCTGTCGAATTCAAAAGTGAGGTGGAATCAGAATGTGAATTATCCTTCCTACATATCCAGCTTACAAGACGATCAGATGGAAGGCTTACAAAGATCAATTTACAACAAGACAGAAAGAAGTGGACGGCTGACCAACTGTTACAATTTTTTTCCAGATAGGCAGAAAAGGAAATCTCGTCGCCTCTCTTGAGACAAAGAATCTTTTGTAGGCGCACTGAGAAAGGAATTAAAATCCTTCACAGGAACTCTAATCAAAAACGGATCTCCAACCTCCATCATAGAAAAACATCTGAAGAGAAAGACTAATACTCCTCCTCAAAACCTGGATGTTCTGAAGGAAAACCTGATTGTAAATCTGAAATTCAAAGGATATTCAGTTAGTGAGGTCCTCTGAACCCGCCTGCCAAGAGCAATTAGAAGAACTTTCTTTGTTGCATCTCTACGCCTCACCTTCACTACACGTACTGTTGTTCACCAAAATGTCAAGGACAAGATCCAACTATTGGCAACTCCATTGTGTATTTAATAATACACTTGGCTCTGTGGAGCTAAGTACATAGACAGGACATTGTCTAAAGGCGCCTACGAACACTTGCTAGCAAGGTTGTCAAAAGGAGCACGTAGAACTGCTCAATTCTGGAGCACATTATCATTATTATCACACGCCATCAGCAGAGACTTCCTTTCAGAGTTATGTATAAGTATGATCAGGCAGTTCTAAAGGATTTTGTATAACTCCTCAATGTAGCAGAAGATTTAGTGATCCATAAGCAGAAACCTGGACTTTGTTTTCAGACACGTTTTATTCAGACTCTTTTACTACCATGACTTTAATGTTAACTTCTGCTTCCTTCTTCGCTTTCCTGACTAACTGTATGATAAGCTCTGTATGGTCCATTTTCTGTTTTTCGCAACTCATTTTCACTACTTTGTTCTCTCGTGTCTTATTAACTATTTCCAAACTATTACTCATCATGCATTTTTTTTACTAATTGACGATAACCTTTGACCTTTGCTTCCAATCTACACTGTATGTATAAACCCTCTAAATAACTGTACAGCTTTGGCATGAAGTTACGAAAAACGGTGATCTCTTCGCTAACTCATCTGTTCTTAATTACAGATTTTATTGACAATTTCAGTATTTTCTAAATGATAGATTTGCGTTAAGATAAGCATTTCAGTTATTAACCATTGAATTTGTCAACGACTGTCCACGTAATCGAAATAGTGTAAATCTGAACAAAATACCTATTGAAGTATTGGTTAGCAGGGATTTCATCATGAGCTGAGATTGGGTTAGAGAACCACTGAGAAACTTCAGAGACTACTGGACAGCTGTTTCGTCCTACTTCAGAACTCTTCATCAGTACGCACCCGCCGAGTTTTGAATTCAAGACCTTCCGGTCGGTTACAAGGCAAGCTCGTAGACAATTCAGTCACTGGGACTCGATCCAGTGGCCCATGAATTCAAAATTCTGCCAATCCGCGGTATAGCGCGACCATTAGCTATTGTCATCGGCGAGTATCTGTTCTCACACCCGACTTGCTGTACCCCGTTGGTCACGCTATATCATGAATTGGCAGAAGTTGGGATTTGTGGAATGGATTCCAGTGGCTTAATGGTCTACGAGCTAGCCATGAAACTGGGAAGTTTCAGGTTTGAACTATGAAGTTTCGGTGGCAGTGGTTTTATTCTTACGGAGTGGGGTTGTTAGTCTCACGCCCGACCATCCCTCTTAACCGGGCTTACTATATAGGCTACGCGAGGTAAAGGAATGCGTCGGCTGAGGATCGAGCTCCGGACCACGTGAAGCGTGGTTGGCGAGAATTCTACTGCTGCACTACTGACGCACAACCACATCGCTTAAGCTTTCTAACTTGCTTCCCCACAACTAGTGTTTCAACTGAACTCATTAAATTATCACGATCAATATATCTAATAATCAAAGTTTGTAGGGTTGATTGGGTTTTAGAGGAAGGTTCATTCAGTTCAAAAACTGAGATTGTTTTTGTTGCTGCTAATATATTTTTTTTCTTCGATGAATATCGAGTGTGATACCCCTTTCTTAAATCATATTGTGATGTTTCTTTTACTCTTTTCCTAATAGATATCCAGCAAAAGCTTTTGTTGGTGATACATTCTGTTACTTTGCTGGAATGACGTTTGCTGTTGTGGGTATTTTGGGACATTTCAGCAAAACATTGTTACTATTCTTTTTACCACAAATAATCAACTTTCTGTACAGCACTCCTCAGTTGTTTGGATTAATCCCTTGCCCACGACATCGATTACCTCGGTAAGTAAACTAGACTGAGTTCCTGAAGTAAATTGGTGAGCATATCCTCAAATCGGTATATGGCACTATCTGAGTCATGACTTTTACCTAAGTGATAGGTGAATTATGTCTCTTAATATATAGTCTCTGTTTTCAATCAATGTTTTATGTCGCTTGCATATATTTATCCCAATATATCCAGAGAAGCGTCGTCTTTTCGTTGTATCTGCCTAGTCACTGATGGATTTAGATCAGGTTGCAGTTAAGAGTAAGTCCTATCACTAACCACAACTGAGCACGCTCGATATTTTTTAAGGGCTTAACTAACAGGTTGGGCATCCAGCCTGAGAGAAGTGTCATCTAAGGGATCAATGGTCACTACATATTAACACGTCAGATAATGGAAACCTTATTCTTCAATTATGCTCAAATCAAAACCTCTTCCTAACGCTCGCCTATTCCCACCACAACAGTTCTAGTTGTGCTACCTGACATCTGCCTCTTTCCACTTAGGTCTAGACTTGAGTAGATTACACTGTCATCAACACAAGTGCATACATGACTACAATTTCTTCTTAGACACTTGTCTGGATTCCTATCTTGATCTAATGTGTGGTAGGTTTCCTTTGCTGTTTTGTGGCGGTCATAAACGTTATTGTAGACAGCCTAACGTCAAAGAATCGATTGTACCTTCTAATGCTAAACTCAAGGTAGCTGTTGACTCTCCAGAGAGTGTACAAAAGCTCAAGCAGGTATAAAAGCAGTAAATAAAACTGCTTACAGCTGAGAGGAACTCTTCACTAAGAAAAACACCGTGTCTCTGCTAATACCCCTCAGCCTCTTAATACCCATCGGTTTATTCTAACAGAAGATGAGTGCATTAGTCTGCTTAGAACTCCCATTATGGGTGAAATTTTGTTTGTGATAAAGTCTCACAGTGTTATACAGTAATGTCTACTGATGACGTTTCGAGCACAATTTATTGCTCATAATCATATCAAGGTACCCACACAACTTTCTAACTTCATTTATATAATTTTATTATTATTCATCGCTTGATTTGATTGGTAGTAGTATTCTCCATATTTCCGGTATGAGTGATGAGTCATTCTTATTGCATGTGTTGGGTGTAGACTGAATGAACAAAGATTCAGTACTTAGAACTCTTATATATAAAGTCAAACAGTACTGATTATTTAAGGATCGCGAACTCTGGTGTTCAGGATGTATAATTTCAGATAAGAACAGCTGCCGCACTTTCCTGTAGCTGGAAGCCATTTCATTTCATCCTAGCCATAGTCAGAAGCGAAAGATTTCTCTTCGAGACAGTCTATGAGGCAGATGAGACGCCTATCAACAACCTACAATGACGCCTGGAACACTGAATAGGTCACTCTGAGAAACAGTTTAAATGGCCTACAGTGTCAATAACATATGTATACATATCACAAGATAGGAAGCATGTAGACATTCTGTAGATAACAATCTTAATCCTAAGTGTCTGAAGTACACCTTAGATTAGAAAAAATGCGTATATTCCAAAGTACATTCTTGGTGTTAACCATATTGAAAAGAAATACTTCGGCGCATATTAATTAACATTGAGTTTTATGTCTTGTTAATAAAGCTTTTCAGCGCTTCAGATTTGTTTCATTAAAACACTATTTATGGCAATGTATGTGTGTGTGTGTGTGTGTTAACAAAAAGTAGAGCAATATAATTTTGCAACCTAAATATTTGATTCATTTGTGTGTTAATAATATATGTGTAAAACTTGGGCAGTGTGGTAGTAATTCCATATTTAAGATTTGATAGTGTGAAATATCCCCATATTATGAATTAAAAGTCAAAAATATTCATTCAGACATCTATAAAACACAAAATAATTGAGCAAAGAATATTGTTTCCGATAAATTCCTCTTCCGGCTCTACAATTATATATGTTTATATACAAAAATATTCAAGATTAGTAGTTGATAATAATATTATTTTACGGGTTGATCACGGATTGATATCAGTTAGAGAAGCATTGAAAACCAGGGAGTACTGGACAGCTGCTGTTTCATCCTAGTTTGGGAATCATCGGCAGTACGCACCCACCGGGATTCGAACGCGGGACCTTCCGGTTACAAGGCAAGCTCGTATACCATTCAGCCACTGGGACCCGATTCAATGGCTCGTGAATTCTAACTTCTACTAATTCGTGATTTAGCGCGACCCCAACCATTGTCGTTGGTGGGATATCCATCCACTAATCCTTACAAACCAAACTATAGAATGTTGATCTGATGCTCGCTAGTGACTTGCTACAGGTTGGAGTTTCCTGAGTTCTAGTGAGAAGTCGTGACCAGTGAGGTCCAATTAGATGTCACGTGTGTGGATGGATGTCCCACCAACGACAATGGTTGGGGTCGCGCTAAATCACGAATTAGTAGAAGTTAGAATTCACGAGCCATTGAATCGGGTCCCAGTGGCTGAATGGTATACGAGCTTGCCTTGTAACCGGAAGGTCCCGGGTTCGAATCCCAGTGGGTGCGTACTGCCGATGATTCCCAAACTAGGATGAAACAGCAGCTGTCCAGTACTCCCTGGTTTTCAATGCTTCTCTAACTGATATCAATCCGTGATCAACCCGTAAAACATAACTAATCCTAACAAACCAAACTATAGAAAATTATATTATTATTAAAATCAATCTGAACGAAGAATATTCTTTTCAATAATTTCTCCTCTTCAGGTTCTTACAGTTATAAAATATAATATTTGTGGTCGTTACAATAAAGGCCAGTTATGCGGTGGCGGATACATTTTTAACGTCGAATAACAGATTAGTTATGGGGTGTGAAAATAAATAGTCGTATTTGTGTGACAAACTTGCTAGGCTGAAATCGATTAGAAAATATTTCTGTGAAATGGGAGACAATGGTGGTGATTAATCATAATAGATTTGTAGAGTGTGGGGTAGGAAAATTGACAAATCAGTTCAAGGTTATCGAAGGTGTCAGGTGAGTGGCTAGTAGTCTGTGGCTAGTGGTCTGTGTTAAGCAGGAGATAGTAAGACTGCAATGAGAGGTTCATGATGCAATAACGAATGTGTGAAATGAAACAGGTGGAGGCATATATTGAGAAAACAGATAATATCACCAATAATAGGTCCGTATAAATGAAAAATTCGATAGTATTGAGGGAATGTTTGCATAAAGGGCATAAATTATGACGAATAATAATTATAATAACTGTAATAATATTTGTAATAAGCAAAGTAAAAAAAAACCAAGAGAGTTAAGGGGAAGGAGCACTCTTGGTGAGAAGGAATATCTTCAATCCAAGTTTGGCCACGGTAGGAACAGCGTCTGGACGTGTTCTTTTTGGATACAAAGTTCCTGTTTAGTCGATCTTATTGCAACAGCTTCAGCTATGTGTAGGAGACGTAAGCGAACTGTATGTGATAACGACTTCGGAATTCGGTATATAACCCTAAAAGCTGTGTTGACATCGATGCGATGTCCAGTATCGACCAAGTGTGACAGGGTCGAGCTTTTTATGAACTTAATTTCCCCCTGCTGAACCAAGCTGGTAAGTGTTCTCGAACCCGTAGCACGAACCTAGCACGTTTATCACACAAATACGACTATTTATTTTGACACCCCATAACTAATCTGTTATTCGACGTTAAAAATGTATCCGCCACCGCATAACTGGCCTTTATTGTAACGACCACAAATATTATATTTTATAACTGTAAGAACCTGAAGAGGAGAAATTATTGAAAAGAATATTCTTCGTTCAGATTGACTTTTAATTCCATATTAGTTTGTTTGTTTGATGTATCACACAATGAAACAGTATTATTTACTGGATGACAAGGTTTCGAATAAAATGTATTGTTCATAATTATATCAATTGTAATCACACGACTTTGAAACTTGAGTTTTATAGTTTTCTTTGTGTTCTCCTATTTGTCGTCGTTAGGGTAGTAGAATTTTCCAGATGTTCAATTGGACAGGTGTGCTGAATCATTCCTATTACATGTGTTTTCCTTCAGTTGATTCGATAAACAAAGCTTCTGTTATCAATCTCTCCCTCCACCCCGCTGTTACATTAGATTTCAAAGCTGTCATCCTATCCCATCCTATTGTATGTTTTGAAATCTAATGTCACAGGGTGGAGGGAGAGATTGATAACAGAAGCTTTGTTTATCGAATCAACTGAAAACATGTGTAATAGGAGTGATTCAACACCTGTCTAGTTGGACATCTGGAAAATTCTACCACCCCTATGACGACAAATAGGAGAGAACAAAGAAAACTATAAAACTGAATTTTCGAAGTCTTGTGATTATAATTGATGATATGATTATGAACAGAAATAAATTTTGTTCGAAACCTCGTCATCCAGTAAATAATACTGTTTCACTGACTGTGTGATACATCTAAGAAACAAACTAATATGGAATCATTTGTGTACTGTCTGCTCATTCATTCATAATGTAGACGCTTATTTGAGTGATTTGCGCATTATGTATTCCCGTTATCATTTTTCTCTTCATTGTACCATTAAATCTTTTTATAGTTATAATCCTACAGATGGTCTGCTACATCCTAGTCGTGTTCGTTTCCATCCCAAGTCTCTATCACGTGCTGGAGAGTTCGTTTTAACAGTGTTTTCGCGTGTTGGTATTATTGAGTGTAAACTTTGTTCAGACTGTGTACCAAATACACACGAATCAAACAGGACTGAAAAGAACACCGATACTGCTCCACAGACTCCTGAACATCAGTCTGCAGAAGGTGATCGAAAATTGGGAAATCGATCACCAAGAAGTAGCAGTCCAGTGCATATGAAGTCACCAACTGAAGAAATTGTTGAAGTAGATAATCTTACTGTCATAAACATGATGCTACGTGTTTTGGGACCTAAAAATGAACAACAGGCTACAAATAACCTTCTAATTTTACAGGTAAGATCTTTTTTTGTCTCATTCCTTTAAGTTCCTGATGGAACATATGGCTTCAAGCTGGAGGTTTGTACTTCCAGTAGCAGTGGTGTTTATTTTTACGGGATGGGGTTGCTAGCCGCCCCATACCCAACCTTCCCTGTTTACCAGTCTTATTATCGGCTCAGCGAGGTAAGGGAGTACGTTGGTCGGGAATTGATCCCCGGACCATGTGAGGTGTAGTTGGCGAGCATTCTACCACTGTTCCACCGACGCATACAGTTAAGATATTCATCTAATATTGTGATGAAGTTGTGTTATGATGTCGCCACTCTTATATTTTGTATAATAAAACAACGTTGAAGTTAGAATAGGGACGAATGCTGAGCTGGACGGAGACATGGTGGTCATGCAACGTCGTTAAGATACTCCATCGTCGTATCAAAAACAGCTACTTGTTTCCCTAACCCGTTCTACTTAAGCGAGAACACATACACAGAGAAGACAAGGCGGAAAAGTACCTGTCTCATTATCAGCTACATTATAGTTATTAACGGAAACAATGTGGAAAAAGATAATCATTGTTTATCTGCTACATATCAAGTTGGTAGAGATTTAACTTATTTCAAGATGTAATTACCTGCAAACCGTCTTCAACTGAAAAACCACTGAACACTAGGCAGTTCTGAACAGCTGGCTGAACTTGACCCCCTTTATTCGTTGAAATCATTAAATCATCTCACAACTAAGGATATTAAACGCTTTACCACCCACCCATTCCATCTACCTCACAAAAGTGATAGTGCGATTGCGAACGTCTGACGCTTATAACCGGACTGTTCGATATGCTGGTCTACTCTAGGGGAACTGGAAAGCTCTGGCTGCAAGCCAATGGCTGACATGGGCCCCGGAATAAGAACGGATTGAATATCGTATGGACCTATTTTCATCACTAGAAACCACTGAAACATAGCTCCTGCTACCAGCTCACTATCTCATGGATCAAACTTCTAGTCGAAGACGCGGGGCGTGTTCCCTTAAAACAACCACCACCTGTTCCGGTCCTGATATCTGGACAGTATCCCAGCCGTTGCATAAACTATGAGGTTTCGTGTGGCGCACATGTCTCTTGGTGCCCACAATGTACCAGATTTGTGATTTAATAGGTAAATAAATCCTTCACTCAGTAACTTGATTGCAGACTGCACTTAATAAAATTTGTGCCCACTATGAAGTAAGTAGGATTGCATACTAATCACTTTCTGAAGGTGAATCGAAATAACACACCCTCCCGGACCTTTGACTTGATGAAGTGTGATCCACAAGGTAGTGAGTGGGTCAACATCAGGAGGTGCGTTCCTATGGTTTCCGTTGACCGAAACAAGTTCATATGCCACCATTCGATCCGTTAGAATTCCGGAGCCCATGTAGACGATTGATATGGGGGATTCAAGGTTTTCCAGTACTCCCCTATGTAGTAGACCAACATATCCACCAGTTTAGTTGTCAGCTGTAGACGTTCTCAATCGCCCTTTCACTTCTGTGAGGAACACTCTTGCTGCGTAAAGACAGTCAATAAGACTTACCTATCAGGTTTGTTTTAACTACTCTTACAATCGTTATTTATAACGGTTACCACATCCTGCCCTTTTTTTACCTAAATCTTTTACTTAACATGCATGGAAAAGTGTAAAGTATGTGTGGACTGAAGAGAATATCAAGATCCCCAATAAGTTCTTTTGAAGTGACCCTTATTTTAGAATTGAATAGCTTTCGTATATATGTAACAGTTTATGGTGCACCAATCAGGATAATTTATTTTATTCAGATAGAAGACAATTATCAAGAACAATTGTGCACCTTGGATTTATCTTTTGTTCCTACAAAGTCGTCTCTGATGACTTAACTCAGTAACCATGGGAAGCTTCAGTCACTGAAGAATTAATCATGTTTGTAGCATAAGGGCTAACTGTTACCGTCTGCCTGGCTCTTAGGTTGAGTGGAATTTGAATATATGACTTCCTGATCGATAGTGTAATGCTTAAGTTTGATTAAAGGTGTCTACATTCTATCTCCCATGTTACCTGGCACAATAGATAGAGTAATTTTGAGGTTAGGCGTCGAGTGTTGTTAGGTAAGGAGGGGAAGGCAATCAATGAGGTTGTGAATCTACATCGAATGAGATGGGGTTAGAACACATGTTAAGCACGACAAGCCATTGCCTTCGTCGATGAGGAGTATTAGCTGATATGGGATCAACCAGGTTGTAAAGAGCTAGTGATGATTATAGCAAAACGTGGGGTCAGTCCATGAAATCTCTAACAATTAGTTTAAGCCAGTCACCTAGGGAGGTGTAGACTGCTCGGTTGATTAGGGTCCTCATGATGGTAAGAACCGATGGCTCGAAATCGTTCTCACTAGTGTGCATTCACTCTGTAATCTGATGTATCTGCTAAATCCCACTGTTTTTTCATGTTACTATGCTTCCTCCTTCACCTCCTTTTTTCTAGTTTCATTTCCTCTCTGTCTTTCATCTTCCTGTGTGTAGTACGTTAAGTGTGACAAGTTGAACTGGTTCTATGTTTAAACTCAGTTAGTTAATCACCAATGCTTAATATCAGCTAGAGAACCATTGAAAACCAGAGATTGCTGGACAACTGCTGTTTCATCCTGGTTCAGGAATCATCAGCAGTACGCACCCACTCAGGTTCGAACCCAGGACCATCCAGTTACAAGGCAAACTTGTGTACCATTCAGCCACTGTCTGTCTGTCTGTTTTCGACATAGAACTTTGCACAAATGTGCGGAAGTTCAAGTCGCCACACTCCGTGTAGCACGCGAAGCAAGAGAAGAGAGTACAAGAAAAGCATAATAGAGACAGTGAGCAGAGGTGTCAGACAAAGCAGTAATAAAGAAAAACAAAACAGTTTCATTGGAGATCATAAGTCACAAGAAGTGGATGCATCTTCGCCGACCATTGAGAACGATTTTGAGCCATGTCACCAATTGTTTCCAACCATAGATTTTTACTGTCCCGAGGACCCCAGCCTGGAAGTCTACACCTTCCTACGGGGCTCAGACCAACTGTTGTAGATTTCATTGACTGGTGCTATGTTTTTGTTTGACCGCCGCTAGCTTTTTTCCAGCCGGCCACTGGGACCGGACTCAATGGCTCATGAATTTTAACTTCTACCAATTTGCCATTTAGAGTGACCGCAACTTATGTCGTGGGTGGGACATCCATCCTCACACGTGATATCTGGATGGACCTCACTGGTCACGATTTCTCACTAGAACTCCAGGCAACTCCATCCTGTCGCAAGTCACTAGCGAGCATCAGATTAATATTCTATAGTTTGGTTTGTAAGGGTTAGTTTCGTTTTTACGAGTTGATCACAGATTGATATCAGTGGGTGCGTACTGCCAATGATTCCCAAGCACTAGGATCAAACAGCAGCTGTCCAGTACTCCAGTGCTGGCTTTCAATAGTTCTCTAACTAATATCAATCCGTGATCAACTCGTAAAAACAAAACTAATCCTTACAAACCAAACTATAGAAAAGTAATGCTTAAGTTAAAAAATAGCTCTTAGATTCACTACAAATATGAAAAACACTGTTGTACTCTCTTGCTAGCTTTTGTGATGACGTATAAAATAAATGGATTTCTCTAACTGCCCTTTTTCAGAAAAATAACTGCATATTCTTAATATGCACTTTTATGCACTTTCAAAAAATATACATCTGAACTGTTATAAGGCACTTGGCATGACATTTACTCACTTTTGATGTAATTTGCACTGATATTTTCGCTGTCAATTAAAATGCAATCATTATCATCATCATGTCAGAAATATTAAAACATTCAAATTTGAAAAAAATATATATAATTCCATATCTGATAATGGATGTGTTAATGTGACTGATTCTCATTTTATGCATTCCTAAATGTTGTCACGTTCAAATGCTAATATTTTTAGATATGAAGTAAGCATTCAATACAATTAGTTACATGGCCTTGTAGTTGTGTTTCACTGAAATAAGTCCCTGAAGTATACTGTTTAGAAGTCTGTTTCTTCGAATTACTATTATCCCCTTGGGTTCCTAGTGAAACATAGGGCTTCAACAACCCATCTCCACTTTGTTCTGTTTGGTGCTGTCCTCCTCATCTGGGTTCACGATTACCCTTAATCTCTCATCTCCTCCTCCTCCTCCATATCACCGGCTCATTGACGACCCAGCAATGGCCTGCATTGCTCGCGATATCATTCGACAGTCATCTCAACGTATTTCCAAGGCATCTCCATTTTCTCCTATATATTTGTTGAGCGGTCGTCTGTTGGTTGGTTTCTTACCAGAGTTTCTTGTTGCTAATTCTTTCTGGCCGTCCTGCCATTTGATGTTCAATATGCAGCCAACCAGCTAATGCAACTGTTGATTAGAGTTTGTAGCTCGTGACACGCTGCCAAAGTGTATGACCCGTATAGAAGAACTGACTGGCTTAACCATAGGTGTTGAAAATCCAGATCTTGTTCTTTTTGTGCTGGCTGATTGGAGTGCAGAAGATGTCCAGACTGGTTTCAAGTTGATGAAGGCGTATCTTGCCTTTCCGATTCTGGCTAGATTTGACATTTTAACCCGTTCTGCCTGTGGTTGAAACGATGCTTCTTAGATAAGTGAAGGAAGTAACCTCTTTCAGATCTCTCTCGTTGATGGGGATTGGTGCTGGTTATTATTGTTGCTGTTGTTGTTGCTGTTCGTTGGCTGGTTATCTTCATCACCTCCATCTTGTCTGTGTTCACCTGGAGTCCTGTGTTCCCCGCTTCCCAGCTCTATGGACTGAAGTAGATGGAATGAGATTCGAACCCAGAAACTACTGACTGAAAGTCGCTTTCCTAAAACAATGAGGCACACCTTTTTTCAAGTTTGACCACGGACTGTTATCAGTGAGTACTGGATAGCTGTACTGTCCTAGCTTGAGGTGCATCGACAGTACGTACTCACTACCATAGTTCGAGCCCTGGGCCTTCCGGTTAAAAGGTGAGTTCGTAGGCCATTTAGCCAATGAGACCCGACGTCTCAATGACCACCCCATGAATTCTAACCTCTACTAATTCATGATCTTAACGCGACTGGCATCAGCTAACAGTGTCATCGACGAGTATTTGTCCTCACTCCCAACCCGGTGGATCCCACTGATTGCGACTTTTTTTAACTAGAACTACAGGCAACTTTGCTCTGAAGTCAGTCGCTAGTGGGATTCTCTAACCGATATGAGTCGGTGGTTGAACCTGAAACTAATCTAATCCCTACACAGCGAATCTTGGAGATCTCTATTTTCATTTAGGCGCCTGCTGTATGTGACTAGAGAGGAGACAAACAATCATATAGATTGATTACAGGATTTCATCATGAGCTGACATTAGTTAGAGAGCCATTGGAAAACCTGGGAGCACTGCACAGCTGTTTCGTCCTAGTTTGGGACGAAACCAGTAGGATACAGCAGGTCGGGTGAAGACAAATACTCGCCGAAGACATTGGCTAGTGGTTGCGCTATCTCGTAACTTGGCGGAAGTTAGAATTGATGGGCTGATCATTGGATCGGGTCCCAGTGGCTTAATGATCTACGAGCTCGCCTTGTAAACAGAAGGTCCTGGGTTCGAACCCCGGTGAGTGCCTACTGTTGAAGAGTCTCAAACTAGGGTGAAACAGGTGTCCAATACTCCGTGGTGGTTTTCCAATGGTTCTCTAACTAATGTCAGCTCATGATGAAATCCTGTAACCAATCAACCAAATCCCTACAAACCAATACTTGAAAATCATGTAGATGTTTGTAATCTGTTCACCAATGATTTTATCGGTGACCCAATATTGAAAGGTATTCAATCGACTTATTATTTGTATACGTTATCAGAAAAATTATTCATTGAGAAATGAAATGTTTTGTTGAAAAACATACACAATTATAAACGTCTTAATCTCTACTTAGGCAGTTAGTTGCATGAACTTATATTTAACTAATATTTATCCACGTGCTTAGCCAAAAAGTACGTATATACATAATATAATATACTGATAAATGCAGTCACGCAATTGTTTCATTTGGTATTTTTAGATTAAAAGTCACCTATATTGCCTACAATGAGTTACTAACATCCTCAATTATAAGTGATTGTGTGTGTGTGTGTGTGTATGTTGGTGGTGGTGGTGACTAGAATGATTTTGACGATCATCCATTCATTCATTTCATGTGATGAATTTGCAGTGTGTATGTTTTTTTCGGAATAAACAATATAAGTATTTTGAGTGAAAAAAAGAACGAAAACATTTGAATGAGACACAGAAGCGCATTTTATTTCGCGGTTTCTCTCCTCAACTGCGTACAGCCTGAACAAAATCCAATAATAAGTTACAAAATGCTGTTGAACATACTTTTTATAATGATTTCGAATTATAGATAGAAAGTATAAGCAAAATAAAATAAAAGATTAACTATTATTTCGTATAATTGGACAAGAGGGTGGGAGTGGGGTAAAGTTCAGGTTTCCCTTGGAAAAACTCAGTATGATTGATTCCCGTATCGCATTCACAATGGAACATGAACGTGACATACACTCAGATCTACTTCGTAGATCTTTACAGAAAGGAAACCTAAACTGATGGATACCTGAATTATCTCAGTTTTTTTGTCAATCGGCTAAAAACGCTCTTTAGCATAGCTAGACAGTTATGTTCAGAAGGTAAGATAAGTTATCGAAAAGATCCATAGTTACTTCGGTTCTAAGAAGCTATTGCTACCAAAAGACTGATCCCAACCTCTGTATACAGAAAGAAAGCGTGACTAATCTCGCACTACCCTAATTGGTAACCGTAATTGTTTTGTTCTGCTGCATAACATTCCACTTAATTATTATTTTCACCTACTCACTATTGAGTTTCCAAATTTACACAACGGTTTTGTTCATGTCATTATTATTGTTTCCTTTAGTTCCTAGAGTAATATGGGGATTCAGCTGCATGTCTCCATTGTGTTCGATTCTCTGCCAACCTTTTCACCTGGCTCCACGTGTACCCACGTACTTTCATCTCCTCTTCACATAACCTCATTCATGTCACTCTCGAACTGACGAACAACTCTCCGCTTCGCATTCAGGTTCCTCTAGGGAGAAACCCTGGCATGTGATGTCACTTGGTAGTTTTCTCAGAGTATGGCCAATCCACCTCCATTTCTTCCTGCATATTTGTTGAACAATCGGTTCCACCTGGGTTGGTTCGCTCCCAGAGATCCTCCCTGTCGCTTGACTTTTCTGGCCGGCCATATGATCTTGAGTGGTATCGAGTGAAGACAGCTGTTGATGAGGGTCTATAGTTTCTTCGAAGTGTACTTCGTGACGCAGTGCCAAGTCTCTGATCTGTATAGTAAGTAGCATTGACTTCACATTGGCGTGGAAAATCCGGATCTTATTTCAATTTCACCCTGAGTGCTCTTGACCTCCCACTATGTCATAAAACTTTTCTTTATTGTTTTACCCCCACTCTCTTGAATTCTACATCGTAATATGTACAAATTTACCCTTATTCCGCCATCTTGTATTTTATCTCTAGTCCGGTAAAGTTCAACAATAGCGTCCCAGGGGATGTGAACGCACAGGTGACCTTCGGCCGACCAATCATGAAAGAATGAGGAATTTCTGCACAAAAAATGACGTATATTTACAAGAAAATGCATGAAAACACATTACACAGGTTATCTTTTTCTGACATGACTTAAAAGTACGTCCAAGCTGTAATGAGGAGTTTCAGTTGCTAAGCTAGACTAGTTTCTGCACATGTATTCACCGAGGTGACTGAAGTTGATCTGTTTTTGTGAATCGTTCATCTCCCTTATCCTGTTTTGTAGTCTTCCCTAAAAGCTATCGGTTGAATTACTTGGGTTTCCAGTAAGAGGATCAACGGCTAATTACCGGAAAAATGTGGATATGAAAACAAATTAAAATAAATGACATCAACTATTAGTCTATCCCTAGTCGTAACCCTAACACTTATTCCTAACCCTAACACTAATACATACCTTAATTCTAATACTAACGAGATACTAACACATTGTCTAAATGATACTTAAAGACGTGATCTGATGAAATTTGCTGCTCAGTTGATGAATAGCGTTTATATTTCACAGCTGTGATAATGACAGGTGCCGTCAGCCGACGACTTGCACGCATTCAAGGTCATTGAAGCTTTTGCACTCCTGCCGTACTATTGTTGAACTTCGCCTCTAGTCCATCCTTGCTTCCAAGCGAAATGTGAACTCAGGCACCCCCACCCCACCTTGTGTAATTACATTATAAACAGTTAATCTTTTAACACTGAATAATGTGTCTACTTATATCACTTTTTAGAATTATTTTGCTTATACTTTCTATCTACAACTCGAAGTCATTGTAAAATGTATGTTCAGACAGTATTTTGTAAGCTATAATTTGATTTGATTTAGGCTGTACGCGATTGAAGAGAATCCATGAAATAAAATGCGCTTGTATTCTCCTTTAAATATGCTTGTTTTTTTCTCTATTCAAATTGAATAAAGGGAACCGATTGTATTGTCAAATAAAATATTGTTTTTCTTGTTTTTGCTTTTATAGATTCTGTGTTCCTGTTTAGCCTTCGCCATTCGTTATCCACTTGCTTGGTTCTTTTATGATGTACCAGCATCACCAGCAAATTGAGAAGATGAATCTACACAGCTTTTGTGCAGTGCGAGACAGCCGTATGATTGTCCCCCATTCTTTATTTTCTCTCCCATCAAGGCAATAGATACTTTCTGGCAAAAACGAACACATGAGGTGTTGTGTTCATTGTAAGGAGAATTATTTAGAGCTAACTAGTATATATGTATGCATATAATCTACTGTTACTAATTTCATTATACTACTAACCAACCTCATCTACACACACACACACACACTACTGCACTCATTGTGTACATCAGTTTCTTCGTGTACATCTGCTTTCTTTTCACATTTTGTTAATATATACATATGTATGATTTTGCAATGAGGCTTGAGCTTATTATTCCTCGTCACTCTTTAGAAAAAGAAAAAAAGTTGATTTATTTATCTTTTGTCTTGTTGTATATTCCTGATTTTGTAGCGACGAGGAGATTATTGGTGGGCTTTTTGTCTTTGTCGTTGACACACACACACACATTGTCTGCACAACAACCTCTTCTGGTTCCCCTTTTTTGTTTTCCTTCTTCTTCCTCTTTTTCTTGTATTTGACTGCATATTTTCAAGGCGCATTCTGTGTGTTAAGCATTTTTGTGCGTGGTTGCTTCCGTGTGTGTGTGAGTGTGTGCGCGTCTTTGTTGTGTATGCCTTACGTCTATGCCTAACTCACCTAAATGATGAGGGTGGCTGGGTGGGTTTTGGTTATTTCCTTCCCTCTGTCACAATATATATTCACTGTTTGACATTATTATTGTGTAGTACAATAGTAGACTTGTTATTCATACATGTTATTCGAATATTCCCCAGAATGTTGTTATATATATATATATATATATATAAACAGGCCGTTTTAAACATTTAAATTAGATGATTTAATAAATCAAATTCATGTTAGTCAACCTTTAAAATGAGTAGCTACTTGAATCAAAGATTTTCTCCTTGTGTGTGTGTGTGTGTGCGAGTTTTATGTGTTTTCGGTAACATTATTGTTCAATGATTCTAGCGTACTTTAAAAGAAAAACAAAATTCTGTTGGGTATTGCAGTAAGTAAAAATAAATACTTCAACGCCAAAAAATGTTAATTGTTAAATTATTTTTGATGAATAGCTAGTGGAGTGGTGATTTAACTCATTTACAGCACTTAAGCATTTGGCTTTAAGCCAGTGTGTAAGTCGATGATTTGAGTTCTACTTTTAGGGTAGTACCATTAGACCTACATACAATATGTTTGACTGACAGCCTGGTACATGAGGAATACATCCATCCGGAGTTCACTAGTGGAAGATTTAGTTTTGAGTGAAGTGAATTTTTTTTATTCCTCCTTTACGTTCCTCGGTGGAACATATGGAGGCTTCAAACTAGAGGCTTGAAGTTTCGGTAGCAGTGGTGTTTATTTTTACGGGGGGTGGGTTGGGGTTGCTAGCCGCCTCATGCCCAACCTTCCATCTTCATCAGTCTTATTACTGGCTCAGTGAGGTAAGGTAAAAGAGTGCGTCGGTCAGACATCGAACCCTGACATCTGATGTTCACTAGGGAGCTAGCAAAGGCTGTTGTTGATAAAATTCTGCAGCCGTCTGTACGAAATGCTTTTCTTGACTCTTTGGCCAAGTTTCTAAACCATAGAGAAGAACTGACTAATCTCATACTGGTGTTGAAAATCCGAATTTTGTTGTTTCCGATGAGTGTGAAATGTTTCCAAACTGATTTCAGAGTGATGAAGGTCTGTCTCGTCTTTCTGATTCTGACTAGTTTGGAAATCCTAATCCGTTACGTCTCCTATAGTTGAAGTGATGCTGCCTGGTCAGCTAAGTGAGGGAAGTGACCTCCTGGTGGGTATCTTCATTCACCTCTGTCTTATCTATGTTCCCTTGAAGTCCTGTCCTCTCTGACTGCTACTTCTGTCTACTTGTTGGTTTCCGCCTGTAAGTCTTCGAGATTGTGTGACATTAGACATAAATCATCCATGAATTCCTGATCTTCTAGAGTCTTCTTATCGATCTCGCGTTTTCCTGTCTTCTTGTTCCCCACATCAAGATGTTTCGTACAATCCAATAAACGACAATAAGCAGTGTCGGTGATAATAGTCAACATTGTCTTACTCCTCTCTGTAGTCACTTCAAAGGCTTCTCTGAGTTTTCCGTTGTAGATAACTTGACATGTGGCAGTCATACAGCTTATTGGTAGCATACTCGAATTCTCTATGAACATTATAGCAGAGGTATTTTATCGTGATGGAAAGTAGCAGTAATTGACTACGTGGACATAGTAAAGCTACTTCCTTGTAAATGTAGTAGTGAGACCATATCATCGAATGATCAATTCATAGTAAAGGTAACCAGAACAGTTGAAAGAGACAATGAATAATACTTTAGTCAGAATTTAAATGGTGGATAGCGACTAGCAGTGGAATCCAGGACTCGCAATTTCGTCCTATTTGGGATTCGTCGGCTGGACGTACCTGCATTCCCCAGTGAGTGATGATGTTCCCACCGAAGCTTGAGCCCAGTGCCCATAGTTTCAAATGCTAAAGCGTTATCCGCTAGACCAAAGTCCTAGGCTCAATAATAATGCGTAGACTAAGTGGTGCTCAGGAGGCACAAACACGAGAGAGCCAGGCAGGCTTTAGGCCAGGAAGAGGGTGTATTGATCACATCTTCACCCTCCGACAGATTCTAGAACATAGGCATTCCTACCGGCGCCCAACAATCACTAAATTCCTTGACCTAAAGGCAGCATTCGACTCTGTCGACCGAGAGGTTCTCTGGAGATGCTTGGCTGTAAAGGGAATGCAGAGAAAATACATTGCACTCTACTTGTACTCATACAGCCAGGTGAGGGCTTACGGCGAGTTGTCATCTGAACTAGTGACGACTAGTGGTGTCCGTCAAGGATGTCCATTATCCCCTTTGCTATTCAACTTCATCATAGATGTGTTAATGGACTTAACCCTAAGTGACTTCAGCGACTCAGGGATTGACTTGTTACCAGGCTATGAATAATCTCGTTGACTTAGAACATGCAGACGATATAGTCCTTCTAGGCGAAGACGCTGACAAAACGCAGAGTCTTCTGAACACATTGAGCAGCAATCTACGAATGTTTGGCATGCGATTCGCTCACGCCAAATACCAGATGATGTTACAAGACTGGACTGCAGCGACTCCTAGATTAGAAATGGGGAGTGAAGTGGTAGAGCACGTTGACCGCTTCACTTATTTGGGAAGTACCATCAGCCAACGCCAACGGGTTGATCTCTGACGAAATCTCGGCACGGATACAGGGGGCTCGTTCCGCAAATGCCAGTTCACGCCGTCTCTGGCGTAGACGAGATATTCGACTATCAACCAAAAGGCGGGTGTACTGCTTATCAGTCCGCTCCGTCCTCCTTTATGGCTGTGAGTGAGACCTGGCCATTGAGAGTGGAAGACATGAAAAGATTAGCTGCCTTTGATCATAGGTGCCTGCGTTCTATCTCCCGTGTGAAGTGGCATAATAAGTTGAGCAATATTGAGGTTAGGCTTTTGTCGAGTTCTAGGTAGACAGGGGAAATCAATCGGCGAAGTTGTGAAGTTACATCGACTGAGATGGTTAGGACATGTGTTACGTATGCCTAGTCATCGCCTTCCTCGATGAGCAATGTTAGCGGATACAGGGTCAGGCTGGAAAAGAGCTAGTGGAGGTCAAACAAAAACATAGCACCAGTCAATGAAATCTACAACAGTCAGTCTAAGCCATGTAGGAAGGTGTAGACTTCCTGGTTGGGGTCCTCGGGACGGTAAAAACAAATGGTTGGAAACAATTGGTGACATGGCTCAAAATCGTTCTCAATGGTCGGCGAAGAAGCATCCACTCCTTGTGACTTATGATTTCCAATTAAACTATGTTGTTCTTCGTTACTACTATTCCTTTGTCTCATACCTCTGTTTACTGTCTCTATTATGCCTTTCTTGTACTTTCTTCTCCTACTTTGTGTGCTACAAGGAGGGAGTGTGGCGACTTGAACTGCCGCACATATGTGCAAAGTTCTATGTCCAAAACAGACAGACTTGGGCCACGAGATCCACCTCTTGTGCAACGGGTCATATTAATTATTTAGTTGAATTGTAGAATCCGGTCCAGTCAATCGACGGGAAAATCTCAAATTCAATTAATATGACCCGTTGCACAAGAGGTGGTTCTCGCGGCCCAAGCGGTCTAGCGGATAACGCTTTGGCGTTTGAAACTATGGGCACTGGGTTCGATCCTCAGTGGGAACATCATCACTCACTGGGAAATGCAGGTACATCCAGCTGACCAAGAGTCCCAGATAGGATGAAATGTGCATCCTGGATTCCATCAGTAAAATTCTAACTAAGTGCCTAGACATCGTCGAAGCATCTGCACAAGAAGCCGACATGTCGACCTGAGACCGAGCACCTCGGTCCAATCAATCGATGGGAAAATCTAAAATTCAATTAAATAATACTTTAGTTAGTTTCCCAAAGTACTTTATTTACCCAATAACTTCTGTAACATTAACCTAAGCAATTGAATACACCTCGGGAAATGATACGACTAAGTAGCTTTGAATGAGGAAATGTAAAGGTTCCTCGTGAACTCGCTTCTGACTGCAATTTACTTATTAGTTTCCTGGAGAAACTTCACAATTCTTAAAATCTCAATCACTACCGAATCACTTTTTGCTACGCAGTATGAAATCAGAAGGTACAACAGGGAGTTTGTATTGGCATTAATATCAATTTAATCGGGAAGTTAGTTAGTCATTTATTCAATAACAATACAAAAATATTAATGAAACTTAGTTTTAAAGTTAAACATCCTACTACACCAACTGGGGTTGTTTCCCTAAGGCTACTTAGGGATGGTAAAATTACCATGTTATGCATGATATTCCGTTACTTGTTTAAACCGTGAATAAAACGGAAACCACCTTTAGACAATTATAAATTCAGCGGTTTAACTAATATAGTCGTTAAGATGGTATGTTCAACTGTCAGTTTATGATCGACTGGAGCGATGAATGAAAATCAGAGTGGCTTAGATGTAACCATAATTATTTTGGTCACAGGATTTCACTATGAGCTCACATTGGCTAGAGGACCATTGAAAAACCTACCGGGACTATTGGACAGCCGTTTTGTTCTAGTTGAGACCCTTCATTTGTACGCACCTACCGAGGTTCGAACCTGAAATTCCCAGTTTCATGGCTAGCTCGTAGACCATTAAGCCACTGGAATCCAGTCCACGAATCCCAACTTCTGCCAATTCACGATATAGCGTGACCGACGGGGTACAGCAAGTCGGGTGTGAGAACAGATACTCACCGATGACAATAGCTAATGGTCGCGCTATACCGCGGATTGGCAGAATTTTGAATTCATGGACCACTGGATCGAGTCCCAGTGACTGAATTGTCTACGAGCTCGCCTTGTAACCGACCGGAAGGTCTTGAATTCAAAACTCGGCGGGTGCGTACTGATGAAGAGTTCTGAAGTAGAACGAAACAGCTGTCCAGTAGTCTCTGAAGTTTCTCAGTGGTTCTCTAACCCAATCTCAGCTCATGATGAAATCCCTGCTAACCAATACTTCAATAGGTATTTTGTTCAGATTTACACTATTTCGATTACGTGGACAGTCGTTGACAAATTCAATGGTTAATAACTGAAATGCTTATCTTAACGCAAATCTATCATTTAGAAAATACTG